CCCGCACCAGATTGTTCCTGCTGCTCTCTGGAGTGGGGGCAGGTAAGAGATCTTGCCCAAGAACCACATGCTCATCTTGTGAAGGCACACAGGTAGAGACACAGAGAACACGTGTGCTACACACCCGCCTCCTGGGTCCATAGGATAGCTTTTGGGACCTCCACCATGCCGTGTGATGCACCCGGTGATGCACACAGGCTGAACGGGTCACACCAGGCTCCAGTCTCGCAGGGTGGCCCAGCCAGGCGGGTGACGCTTGCCTACAAGTCAGGGTCCTGATGACTGCACACGACTCCGGCATCCTCCTGGTGTCCACAGTTATGCGTGCCCACGCCTGCGTGCGCGCACTCCAGCAGGTTGCGCTCGCTGCCCGCGCAGCGCACGTCGTCCAGCAAAATTGGCAGCGCCCGGCCCTCGCCGAACTCCGCGCGTTTGGCGGCGCGAACCGCGTGCGCAAAGCCCAGCTGGCGACACACCACGGTGGCGGCCTTGGCGTCCCAGGCGTCATCGCACACGGTGCCCCAGTGTCCGCCCGCGAACACCTCCACGCGCCCGCGGCCCGGGCTCAGGCCTGAGGGCCGCACCAGGCGCACTGCGCCATTCTGGGGCGCAGGGACCGCGGTGCTCAGCCGCCCCCGCTGCCGCCCGCCGCCCCTCCGACCTCCTGGCCGTCGGGTGGGCCGTGGGAGTCGCGCAGGCAGCCGGGTGGGAGCCAGGGGAACGGCCGTGGGGCTGCTGCGGCGGGGCGCCTTAGTGGGCGCGCGAGCCGTGGGTCGCGGGGTGCTCTCCGTGGTCCGGATGAACTCTGCACAGAGGAAAAGGCTGTAGTCAGAGGGAGCCTGCTGCCCCAGCTCAGTTCAACTCTCCACCCACCGCCCTCCAACCTGGGCTGTGGGGGTGTGAATCTAGGGAAAGATGCCTTCTGTCTGCCTGCATTCACATCCCAAGATAGGGTGCCTCTTAGGGCGCCAGTGTGTTTGATGGGTCACCCTGGCCCATAAGGAAGCCAGCCGACCTAGAGCTGTGTTAGGTGCTTCTTAAGTCATTCAGCAAACTCTGGCTGTCAGGTACTCTGTGCCAGTCTGCTGCTGCCAAATCTCCCTATCTTCAGCCCTACCCAACCCTGAGCTGGTAGGAAAACCCTGTAACTCAAGCACAGGGAGGGGAAAAGTGTCCAGAAGGCTTGTAGGAGTAAGGGTCCCTTCTGTTTCCTGCTCTTGGTTTTCGGGGGTGATGAAGCAGAGGCCACAGGCAGGCATGATCTTTTGAGAGTCTGAAGCCATCAGTAGGCAGACAATGGACTTGAACCCACATAGAAAGCCCCCTTTGGTCAGGGTGGTTCTCTCTCCTTCAGGCTCCCAAGGCTGCTGGCCCTGTCACCTGTCACAACAGGCTATATGAGTGCCATCAGGGTGTATGGGGAATGAAGGGTCAGGGCTCACTGCACATTCACCCCACTGGGTGGCCACAGGTGCTGGGGACTGAGGTGGGTGGTTCCCTTTGTTCCTTTAGCCCTGTTCAGTCACAATGACAAACCACATACTACATCAGACACTGCTCTGCCAGCCCCACTCAGGGGGATGAAGTGCCGAGCACTGGCCATCGCCCTCTGTGACAGCCCTCAGAGGACTGAACCCCCAGTGACATAGTTCCATGGGGAGGACGCTGGGGCCACCAACCTAAATCCTCCCAATCCTCACCCCATTTCAGCCAGCCTCAGTTTGAAAACCAGAGATGAGGCTAAGGAAGTACTTCTGGGAACAAGGCCAAGTGCAGGCCAGGGCCCAGAGAACCATGATGTAATCAAAGTGCTCCCCCTCCCTGTACCAGCGACCCAGAGCCTCACTTCTCCAGCTCAGGCTGGGATGCTTCTCCCTATCTAGACTGCCCCCCCACCTCAGGGTGCCCCTCCTCTCCATACTCCAGGAACCCCTATTTCCCTCTAGTCCCACCCTGCCTGGGGTAGCTCCCTATAAGACCTGGAACACTAAATGAAGTCTGTGTCTGCCTGCCAAGACAGAGCCTGCTTTGATTTCTCCCTGTGGCCCCAGCATCCAGCACCAAGCATGTGACTAACTGCTAAAGACACTGCTGAAGGAGTGAATGAGAAGCCAGCCCCAGGGAACCATCCAGTCTACCTTCCTGCCTCCCCACTATTCTCCTCCCCAGCCTCCCTCTATTCAGATATCCCTTCCTCCCATAGGATCCCCCAGCCAGCCCCGCTGCTCAGCCTTCCTTCTCTCTCTGGTCTGCCAGGTGGTGGCCTGGCCTGCTGAACTGATTCCTCTTTGTCATAGGATGTTTTTTGTTTTTTTAAATAAATAATTTACTGAGAATTTCATATATGCCCACTCCCTCCCCTTCAACTCCTCCCATATCTCCCTATCACTTTTTTTCTGATAACTTCATGTACTTTCTTCTTCATTTATTTTTTTAAACTTTTAAAAAAAATTTTTTTATTTTTATTTTATGTGTATGCATGTGTATTGCCTGCACGTAGGTAAGTGCACCCGCGTCGTACAAAGCCTGAGGGGGTCAGAAGAGACCTTGGGACTGGAGTTACAGACAGTTGTTAGCTGCTATGTGAGTGCTGGGATTCGAACCCAGGTCTTCTGCAAGAACAACCAGTGTTCTTAACCACTGAGCCATCTCTCATAGGATGGGTTTTTGGGGTTTTAAAAAGTATTTTATTTTTATTTTATGTGTATGACTGTATTGCCTGCATGTATGTGGGTGCACCCATGTCATGCAATGCCACAGAGGTCAGAGGAGGGCTTCAGATTCCCCTGGAACTGGAGTTAAGGATGGTTCGTAGTCACCATGTGGGTGCTGGGAATCAAACCTACGTCCTCTGCAAGAGCAGTCAGTCAGTGCTTTTAACTGCTGAGCCATCTCTCCAGCCCCCATAGGATGTTTTTTAAAGTGTTGAATGAGCTACATATTTTCAAATTAAATTATATGAAGCAACCTGAGAAGGCAAGACAAGAATTCTGTTGCTCAGTGTTACATCCCAAGTGCATGCAAAGCATATGTGCAGGATGGATGAATGATGACCAGATGGATGATGGCTTGCTGAATGGATGATGGCTCACTGGCTGGCTGGATGGATGGGCAGATGGGTGGATGGGTGGATGGATGAAAGGGTGATGGATGAATGGATGGATAGGTGGGTGGGTAAGTGGATAAATGCATGATGGATGGATGGATGGATGGATGGGTGGATGTTTGTGTGGACAGATGGATGTTGGATAATGGGTGGACAGAAGAGAGATGGATGGATGGAGGACATGTGGATGATGAATGGATGGGTCAGTGGGTGGAGAGATGATGGAGGGATGAGTAGATGGGTGGATGAATTGATGCATGGACGGGTGAATGGATAGATGGATGGATGGATCAGTGGATTCAACAGATTCATAGATTGATAAATGGGTAGATGAGTGGGTAGATAGGTGATGATGGGTAGATTGGTGAATGGATGGGTAGATAGGTGGATAGATGAATGGGTGATGGATGGATGGGTGGGTGGGTGGATGTTTGTATGGACAGGTGGATGTTGGATGTTGGATGGATAGAGGAGGGATAGATGGATAGAAGATGTGTGGATAATGGATGGATGGATGGGTCGGTGGGTGGATGAATGATGGAGGGATGAAAGAATGATGGGTGGATGGACTGACACATGCATGGATAGGTGATGGATGGATGGATTGGTGGATGAGGGATTGGTAGATGATGGATGGATAGCATGATAGATGGGTGAATAGGGTATATGGGTGATGATGGGTAGATTGATGAATAGATGGGTGTATGGATGGATTATGGATGGATCAGTGGACAATGGATGGATAGATTGATAGATGGGTAGGTGAGTGGTTAAATAGGTGATGATGGGTGGATGACTGGATGGACTGATGGACAGATTGGGAGTGATAGATAGATGATAGGCAGATGGATAGATGATGAATGGATGGTGGATGAATGGTTGAGTGGATGGATAGATAGGGAAATGCATTTCCTTCACATCTTAGGTTGCAAAAGGTCTTACTACACAAGCCCTTGTTCTTACCCGACTTGAGTCCAATGGAACAGCTGCCTCCACCAGGTATAGTGTTTCATACAGTGTTAGACCAAGACAGCCATTCACAGCCTGCCTGTCCCTCAAGACAAAGGGTTTGCTCATGGCTCCATCCCTCCTCACCAAAAGAGACAAAATGGAATCCTCTATGGAAAGCCCAACCCAAATGCCCCAACGCCTTACACACAGATGTGTTCTCTCTCTCACTCTCTCTCTCACATTCACTCTCTTGCTTTTGCTCTCTCTCTTGCTCTCTCACTCTCACTCACTCTTGCCCTCTCGCTCTCTGTTCCTCCCAGAACTCTGAGCACTTCTCATCTGAGCATTCTTCTTCTTGACATGTCCTGCCTGAGGCTGAGCTCTTTGGGGCCACCTACCTACTGCCTGGAACCTGGTTTAAGGAGTTATGACCAATCCAGCAATATGCACTATAGTTATAGTTCCATTCACTTTGACTAAGTGTCTGATGGGTATCAGGTATGGTGCTAGGTATAGGGGCTGAGAACACATTTGAAGTCCAACTGGGGACCTACGAGAAGCAGGAGCTTCCTCTCTCATAGTGACCCACTAGAGAACACTTACTTTCTTTGGGCACAAAGGGGATGAGGCGGCTCTTCACCTTCACCTGAGCAGGGTGGATCTGGCACTTCCCAGGAGGCGCCCGTCTGCCAGAGACACAGAAGATTAGGAGTCCCACCCTGGGAGCCAGTCCTGAGCATGCAGCCCAGCCCATCCCACTCCTTGCTACCTTCCCCTGAAGTGAGGCAAAGAGGGCATGGGCCAGGCATGTGTGGACAGGGACAGTGCCTGGTACTGTGGACCCCTCCATACCCCAAGGGTGATGGGGAGTCCCCCCTCCACATTGCCTGCCCCACTCCTGTAACTGCCCCATTCCTGTCCACCCCTCACCCCAGGCCTTTGAGGAGGGTGATTCGCAGGCCTGGAGGAACTTGGGGATAGTTAAGGCAAGCTAAAGACAAAGCGGGAAGGCAAAAGGAACCATGGAAAGGAGCCATGGGAAGCCAGCCTCGGCAGACCCCGCATAGCCTTAGGGCCTGCAGTTTCAGAGAAAAGAGTCTGAGAAGGGTTGCCAGGGTGTAAACAGCTCCTTCACGGTCCTCCAGGGGCACAAGAACCAGAATTCCATTTTAATTAGTTTTTGGCTGGTGATCTGTGATTCTTTGAATGGATCCGACCCTGTTCCCAGACTGCCCCACGTGGGCTCAAGACTTCAATGAGGGTTCCGTCTGCATGGGATTGAAGCAGCCACATGACAGGAATGCCCTCCAGAAAGACTTGGCAGAAGAGGGGACACGTGCCTCTTGCAAGGCACACAGTCTTCTCAAAGCTGGAGGCACGGCCTTCCGGCTTTGACCTCTCATGGGGTCTACACGTTGAGCAGATCCAAGGAAGGGAGGAGGCATTGTCTCTGAAGACTTGGAGCTACACTAAAAAACCACAGGGGTTCTGCTCGGGCAGTGAGTGGTGCCCCCCTGGGTCCTCCACCCCGTCTTCATTTTCCAAATGTTCGCTACCAGTAGCCTATACGGTGTCTGTGTGAGTGCCAGGAAACACACTTCTTCCTAGGGCAAAAATGAAAGGGAGGGAGGAGAGTTTCAAGGGAAGGAGGAAGGTGAGGAGTGAGGGAGGAGGGTCAGAGAGGAGGGTTGGAGGAAGGTGGGAGGGATGGAGGAGAGTCAGGAAGGGGGGAGGAGAGACAGGGAGGAGGGTTGGGAGGGAGGGAAGAAGATGGGGAGTAAAGGGGGAGTCAGGGAGGGAGGAGGGTCAGAGAGGGAGAAGGGTCAAGGAGGAAGGGAGGAAGGTCAGGAAGGGAGGGCCAGATAAGGGTAAGAGAGTGAAAGAGGAGGGTCAGGGATAGAGGTAGGAGTCCTACACACTTCTGTCTGCTTCTAACCCAAAGACCTTGAGCAAGAGAACCCCTCAGTCCTGCTGGGTCTTCTTTGTGTACACAGGGGCAGTGAGCCCAGAGGGAGAGGGTATTGCAAAACCAGACCAGGATGCAGCCAAGGCAACACCTGGCAGGAATTAGGTGCTCAGTATAAGTGACAAGTCCTTACAGTAGTCTTTTCTTTAAAAAAAAAGAAAATAACCTCAAATTCCAATAACTATGAAAGATGATAAGATGATGGTTCAGTGACTCAGCTGAAAATGACCCTCAGTCAGGACTATCCTTTTGAGGGTGGTATTAGGATGTGGAGACAGTGACGAGGGACAGGCCAATGAGAGGAAGGACAGAGATGAAGGTATATGGTACCTTGGGGAGGCCAGGATGGAGACATGGAAGGAAAGAGTTTATGACTTATGTGGCAAACAGGTACATCGTTAATTAATGTTTCTACTTTTGAAAGTCATAATTTAAATTTTTATTTTTTTATTTTTATGTGTTTTGCCTGCATGTATATGTTCACCCATGTTGTACAATGCCCACAGAGGCCAAAAGAGGGTGTCAGATCCCCTAGTGGCCATGTGGGTGCATGGAACTGAATCCAGGTCCTCTGCAAGAGCATTCATTCACTGCTCCTAACTGCTGGGCCATCTCTCCAGCCCAGTAAGTCATAATTTAAAAACAGACATGGGGAGCAAGAAAAGTCTAAGAAGCTAGAGACCAGAGGAAACTAAGGAAATGTGATGCAGGATCCTGGGGTAGAGACGGAACATGGGCTGGGTGCCATGGAACATGCCTGTAATCTTAGCACTTGGGAACTGGAGGCAAAAGTATCAGGAGTACAAGGACAGCCTGAACTACATGAGACCTTGTCTAAAAAAACACAAAAGGAAAAGAAAAAGAACATGAGGGAGAAATCAGAGTAATCTTTCAGAAAAAAAAAAAAAATAGCCAGGTGTGGTGGGTCATACCTATAATCCCAGCACTGGGGCTGCTAAGGCAGGAGGACTGAGAGTTTAGGCCAGCCTGGGCAACAAAGATCCTGCCTTAAAAAACACAAACCAGAGCCAGGCATGATGGTGTATAGGCCTTTAATACCTCCCAGCACTAGGGAGGCAGAAGCAGGCAGATCTCTCTGAGATGAAGGCCAGCCTGGTCTCCATAGTGAATTCCAGGCCAGCTGGGGCTCCAGGGATATCCTGTCTCAGAAAGACACACACACACACACACACAAAACAGGGGCTGGGGAGATGGTTTAGAGGGTAACAGTACTTGCAGTGCAAACTGAAAACATGAATTCAAATCCCCAAAACCCACATAAAAGGCTGGACTCAGTATTGTACATCTGTAATTCCAACACTCCTGCTGTGAGATGGGAGACAGGGGAATGGCCCAGAAACCCTCAGGCCAGCTAGCCTGGAGTATGCTGTGCAGCAGAAACAAGAGAGATCCTGCCTCGAAACAAGGCAGATGAGAACTGATTCCTGAAAGTGGCCTTCTGGTGGCATGTGGATACCCACACTCATACTCACCGATATATCATACATGCACACACACAAGTAAAAATAAATAATAAACTTAAAGCAAAGATCATAAAGTTGGTTAATAATATTGCACCAGTGTTCCATGCTAAAATAAGATGTTAACAAGAGAGGAATTGGGCAGGTGATACATAGAAAACCGTATCTGTAATCTTAAAACTATTCTAAGCCAGGTGTGGTGGCATGATGGCATACATCTGTAGTCTCAGCACTCTAGAAGCAGAGGCAGGAAGGTCAGGAGTTCAAGATCATTCTTTTGCTTTTTAATTTTTTTTTTTTTTGGTCTTTTTGACACAGGGTCTCCCTGTAGCCCCAGCTGTCCTGGAACTCACTATGTAGACCAGGCTGGCCTTGAACTCACAGAGATCCGCCTGCCTCTGCCTCCCGAGTGCTGGGATTAAAGGTATGCACCACCAGGCCCGGCATATTTTATTATTTTTATTTTATGTGTATGCGTGTATTGCCTGCCTATACGTAAGTGCATCCATGTCATTCAATGCCCATGGAAAATAGAAGAGGCTGTCGGATCCCCTGGAACTGGGGTTATGGACAGTTGTTAGCTACCATGTGGGTGCTGGGATTCAAACCCGGGTCTTCTGAAAGAACCGCCAGTGTTCTTAACCGCTGAGCCATCTCTCCAGCCCCTCAAGATCATTCTTGACTACATAACCAGTTGGATGTCAGTCTGGCTACATGAGAATCTGTCTCAAAAAACCAGACAGGGGCTGGCTGGAGAGATAGTTCAGTGGTTAAGAGCACTTACTGCTCTTGTAGTGGGCCCAGGTTCAGTTCCCAGCACCCACATGGTAGCTGATAACCTCCTGTAACTCCAGTTTCAAGGGATCTGATGCCCTCTTCTGGCCTCCTGGAGCTGCTGCACACATGTGATGCACATAAATTCAGGCAAGCAAATACACATACTCATACACAAAATACATCAAAAATAAATAAATAAACTGGGAGGCAGAGGCAGGCAGATCTTTGTGAGTTCAAGGCCATGCTGATTACACAGCAAGTTCCAGGCCAGTCAGGGTTACATAGTAAAACCATGTCTCAAAACAAAGAAATGAAAATAAGAGATAGCTAGTTGTGGTGGTACACTTTTTAAATCCCAGCTCTCAGGAGGCAGAGACAGGCAGATCTCTGTGAGATCTCTGGTCTACATAGAGAGTCCAGGCCAGCTGGGGCTACAGGGAGACTCTGCCGAGGGGGGAGGAGGGGGAGGGAGGGAG